TAGATGTGTATAAGGCCTCAGGCCTAGACTTTACAACAAAATTTGTCAGGATCATACATGAACTAACTCTGGTATGATTCCAATTAATTTCCAATATTTATAGCTCTGTAATTCCTGTAAACCGGAAAAAATATATTCGGGATTCGCACAACAAACCTCGCGATCGCGAAACTCGCACGCGGGTCTCACTCTTCCGGCAACAAACAGATATGACCTACATTGACCTAAATGTTGACCAATCATAATCAAGAAAAGTTTGAAAACCGCAGTACGTACCGTGTAAAAGTCTACTTTCAAATAGTGCTGAACTTTTGGTTATAAAAAACACCTTTATGTACGTCCTATTTTGGTAAACTTTTAGTATGTTGTTTTACATATAATTAAGTTTATATTTAGACCATAAAACGTTTTGTTGCAATTTTGTCCAGTCAAATCCGTATTTCCGGTGGACTAACAGTACTGGGCGCGCGAGCGGAGCTCGCATTTATCAACTTGTAATAGTCAACGCGTTGTTAGCCTTGTGGAACGCATGGGTACTTCACACAGCAGAACTTTGTTTTGCGTGACATTTGACATTAAGCACGACGGCAACCAACAACAGTGTGGAGTTTATAATTCATTTCATTATGGATCCTCTAAACTTAAAAGAAGATGATCTTTCTCTCAATGATTTTCTTTCAAAAGTTGATGAGATCGGTTAGTGCAAAATATGAACATAATAGGCTGTCTAGTGCCTGAAAAGTAAAGGAGCCTAGGCCCATTAGTAAGGCATACCAGGGTCCGGGAGTTGTTGTTATAGCATACCGATCGATATATAGTGTACACATACTGCTAGCTAGGCCTACGCTTTCTAGATTTTGGCCTGCCCTGGTGGCTAAACTTTGCTACTACTAGTTGTTGGTCCTAGGCCTACTACTAAGACTGACTTCCCTTTTTCTGACTGGCCGGCTGGGCTTGTCTAATTACTGTACTATAGTACTGCCAGCCTAGGCAAGGCATAGTCTATGTCGTAGATAACTAGGCACATGTCTATCATTGTTAATTAATTAATATACCATAAATTAAAGCAGCAGTCACACTGGATTTAAAAAATGGAAGATTTACCAAACAAACAAGACTGTGGAAAACTTTTCAATGGGTAAATCTTACCGTTGTTTAAACTTGGATTAATTGGCGCAATTAGTTTTAAGTAATACCATATGATATGCCATGGTATAACTAACTGAGCCATGATGTGGGTGCTAAATTGCACGCATATGTGGTTGCCCAACAGACTGGTAAAGGTAATTAACATCATAGATTTTTATCGGTTAGTTTTGCTGTGCAAACAGGAGTCAGTTAAACTAACCATGCTGCTTGGGTGAGTTACATGAGAGGTAAGTTTCCTGGGTTGTTCGCACTGGACTTATTATGGGTAAACTAAGTCATTTAATTTTACCTAATAAGTCCCATGCGATTGCTGCTTAAGCCAACAGGGAAATTATCCCATGTATGGCTACCTATAATTAACTAGCTGTTCTAGCTAGCTGAAGTTTTAATACAACTCATTCCTACTTTGTTGAAATAATTTTAATGATATAATTACAGAGCTAGAGTGTAAAGTAAGGCCTGCATAGGGAATATATCCTCTGTGCAAAAGCTGGGCCAAGAAATCCGTTTGCACATTTCGGAAAATAAATGCCAATTTCCTCTCAGATTTTGCTGACAATTAGGCTTTGACCTAATCTTAATATGTAACCAATGTATTATGTAGTATTTTGAGGTATCATCTGCGCAAGAACTTCACAGTATGGACTGCTGTATGTAAATAGTGAGTGAGACACTACTGAAGTGGATTATATCATTCATAAATAATTGAATCATAATTATTTCTTTGATTATTATTTTTTACAGATAAGATTGTTAAGGGAATGAACACTGGTGATGAATCCGAACAAAATATGGCATTATCAAAAGCTGATAAGATGCTCAAGGAGACAGAAAGTGAACAAACTACTTCCAGTATCAATAAGACAATCATAAATGGAACACCAACAAAACAAGTAACTGTCTGCTTGCCTTGTGAACAGATTCTTATGTGTCATCATTAAAATTACTAGTACTTTAATTGATAAAAACATTTATACTAAAGTTTTATCTTGGATACCACTTGTCACTTAAAACTTTGGCCTTTTCGTCAATTACCACAATTGTTTTATGTAATTTCATGTTTGTGTTTTTTATTTCAGGAGAACCCTCAAGGAATTAGCCAAGGTACGGTATCTGAAAAACCTACATTCTTTTCATTATTTTATATCCTCTTCAATCTATTTCATCTTTAAATCTGTTCATTAATGACATTGTCTACTCCCTCAGTTCATTCCATTTTTTCTATATTCTATTCATTCTCCATTTATTATCTTTTCTTTTGTTCCTTCTTCATTTCCATTCCCATTAAATTTATTATTTTTAACATTATCATTGATATTGTTTTGTAATTTTATATAGTTCTTGTTTTTGTAAATAAGGTAACTATTTATTAAATATTGTTTCAATCATTTGTTTCAGATGCATTTATGGCATCTGTTGAGGCAGATGCCAGGGAGCGTGCTCAAAGGCGTCGGCTCAAAACCAAACAGGCCACCCAGTTGAAAGAGCAGGGTAACATTGAATTCAAGGCAGGCAACTTCAATAAGGCTGTCGAATACTATACACAAGGACTTGATTGCCTCAGAGACATGGTGGTACTCTACACCAACAGAGCCCAGGTAGTTTTTGTAATAATAGTGTGTTTATTCATATTGTTATTGTTATCTCACTGAAACGTCAGTGGTTTTACATCCAAAACCATACTACACATGGTGTACCAGAAGTTTAATTATTTTGTTATTTATACTCGTCATGCAAACCGTCAAGAATATTTTGTTATTGTTATTACTATTTGATTCATTTATTTTTATGAAAGTTTATATTTTACCAGTTACAACTCAAATTTGTATTATTTACACACAACAATTAAACATTTGATTATTAAATTTAAAAATTTACTAAACAGAGTTATCTCTATGAAGTCATTGAACAGTCAGATTCCTTGGGAGAATGAATGAGAGAATGCTAGCCGTTTTGAATACTTTATTCATTAATTTTGGGTATTGCAGGGTTTCCATCTGTTGCCTCATGACCAAGTGAAAATTAAGACTTTTATCATTTTTAAAGATCTGATATCAGTGAGCTTATCTCAGTATGCTGAATCCATCGATTACTCCCCCCCCCCACCCCCACATACTAAATGTTCTTTCTGCTATCTTCCTACTTTGATAATATACTTTCAGATTCAATTTTATTTGTCCAATATTGTCAAATCATTCAAATTTTATAAAAATGATTAATGAAAGTTAATTGCTGGTTTCCGTTATTTTTCAGGCTTATAACAAATTAGGTCAGTACGAATCTGCTATAGAAGATTGCAACACTGCTTTACGCATTGAGGAGAAGAACACAAAAGCTTACATTCACAAAGGCAATGCACATCTAAGTCTGTTACAGTACACAAAGGCAATCGAAACCTACCAAGAAATATTGAAAGTTAACCAAAAACAAGAAAAGCTAGTGAATGGTGAGTGGTACAATCCCTACATGCTTATATTACATCAATTCAATTTCAAATAATTTTATTGCCATTTTTCAAAATTCTTAAATAACAATACAATAAAATAAGTAAACCATTATGATACACAACGTCAAATGGAAAAAGTATCCAAAGCAAATATGAGCTCTAAGCATAAAAACCCTAACAAATAAATTTAAAAAAAAAAATTATTGTACATTTATTGTTGAAAACATTTTAGGCCCTGTCCAGACTATCAAATTGTATTTGACAAAACATGTGACATGACTAAATATGGTCATGATCACATCACATCATGACCATATATAGACACACCATGAGTGTATATGTTACATAGGTTAAAAGTTTCCCACACGAATAAAGTATATGAGCGCTACTGGATAAAGACAACTTGATTTCTTGCTTCGAACAAGGTATCCATTCGTAGAAGTCTTATGAAAATAAGCCTATCCAATAGTGAGGTTAAAGGGTCGGGACCAGGATATACAGGGCTTTAGTAAATATTCAGGTTAAAATTTTATTCTCTGTCCTTGTAGATTATGTTAAGAAAGCTCGCTTAGCTATGGAAGCAGCAGAGGCCGAGCAGGCAGCATCGAAGGTGGTAGCTGATGGAGAGATACAGGCCTCAAACCTGCTGCAGCTGCTTAACAAATTGAAACAGCCTGACAAGCCAATTATCTACTACCAAGGAGGCTTGCAACTCCTTGCAGTTCAAATAAACAATGGTAAATATTCTATTGTAAAGTGCTAGATTAATCCATAATTTGTGTTCTGTCTTCTTTCAGGCTAATACATGATTCATTCTATTTTATTATTATTCTGCCTACCATCATTTACATTGTAACTGTATTTTGTTTATTTACTTCATAAAGAATAAAAAATACAGAACTTCATTGGTCTTTTAAAAACAAGTGTACAAAAAATTAATTATTTCCTAATCAGGAAATTGAAAACTGTTCAATCATTTTACCCAAAGATACATCTAAGACACTGTTCCGTTCCAATGCTGGCTTTGAACTGCTATTTAAAAAATCATACCTGAGTGAGAAGATTCAGCAAGCTCACACAAGTCAGGACAAGGAGAATTTGGAACTTGCCAGAGCCACTGTACAAGTATGCATACAAGCAACTTCTAAACATGGTAATTACAAACTGAACGGTACATAACTTTAAAGAAAATCTATTGGATAGGATTGGATTTCTCCGGTGTGATATGCATCAAGGGAAACCCACTAAAGTCCTGAGACTTATTTCCAGCGGGGCCGTTCTAGTGGTGAATTGGTCAGTACACCGGGAGACAATCCTCTACTCTATTCCGAAAATTGGACTGCGTTCTTTAATGTGCACACATGGACCATTTTCCACAAGGGCCCCCACGATGTTAATTAATCGGCTTTGTTTCTGCCACAACCATGGGCCGTAAAAACGGTCAAATGGACTCATTAATAAGTAGAATGTTTAAAACAACATCCAATACACCCTTTAAATGTCACCCACTGAGCCTCTACATTGCCCCAGAGTGGAAGTACATAAGAAGACATGAGCAGCCTCACACCTTTTTGTAATACTCCACTGAGTTGGGTGTAAATTAATAATATGTTGTTTAGTAATTACATTATACTTTGTCACCGCAACATTTCTGAATTAAACTTTTGAATCTAGAGTTTCTTTATTTCACACTCTGTTGCAGATGTAAATACTAAGTATTTATTAGAGCTGCAGGGTTTTCATGACTTCCTGCTAAACAGCCTCCAGGTTGCCACTTGTGCTGCCTTGAAGGAGGAGTGTGCCAGATTCCTGTTCCAGTTGTCACAGACAAGCTTAGCAAGGTCTACCATCATATCAAAACTGGATATATCAAGGTAAATCAGGTTATTTGTGGCCTAGAATTTCTTGGCCTAAAGTGCTGTCCTGCCTAGAGTAGCTAGCAACTCGGGACAGCAAGCAATAGTGGACCTAGGGTAGCAATCAACTCTAGGCCAAAGGTATAGGTGGAGAGATCTGAAATTGTATGTCTATGGCACCTAAATGGCCAAAAATGGCACTCTCAGTTTAAGCTTGAATGTATGGTCAGTGGTCATGTATTTTATTAGCACCTTCCACAGTAAAAACTGTCTCAATGTGCTTCATTTAATTGATGAACAGGCGCAAACATGAAGTGGAGGAGGAAGGTGCATAACCCCCGATTGTGTGATAGCATCAACATCACTACTTTAGTTTTATATTTTCTCACCTTTTTTTAAAATATAAAATTTTGGGGGTCCCTGGTTCCCTTCACCCACCTGTGGCACCCATAACATGTCAGGTAAGGTTGATGTTTGGGTGACTATTAATGTGTCTGCTTCCATTTGATAGGTTGATGTTGGGCTTGATCAGCTGTGTGCAGATCTCTCAGCAAGGGGCAGAGAATGCAATGAAGAGTTTAAACAATCTAGCCCTCGAGAAACAGTAAGAGGCAATTCTTGTCACTGAATATTAATACTATTATAAATGCTCTCCAGTAGACTTGCTTATCATACTACCATTTGCTATTAGAACAAATATTATTCATGTACTTTTATATATTCCAGATTTTTATCTCTTGTACGTGTAGAAATGAAAAGTAACTTATTGCCAGCATTTGAAGAAATTCTTGTAAGTATTTGACCTTTGAAGTTCATATCTCCTAAATATCATTAATTAATAAGGAGCCAAATGACAGTGTTTCATGGTGCTTAAATCTATGTCTTATTTTTTACGTATGTAGGTACACAGCGAGGCAGTAAGTGAAGCTGTGTTGCCATCTTGTATATCAACCATTTCAAACATGGCACATGATGACCATATTAGGAGACAGATGTCAGCTGATAAGAGTTTCTGGCAAGCTAGCCTTACAATATTAGTAAGTTACCAAACCACCTGTAAACCTTACTTATCTATGCTAATACAGCCATGATCATGCCACTACCCTGCTGCATATCAGTTCTGGTACCTTTCAGCCCTGGTACACACTAAACCTGGTAACCATAATTTGTAATATCAATTAACACCAGTACCAATCAACCCCAACTCAGGCACCCAACAAACCATGTCACATCAATGCAAGAACCTTTGTGTAAATCAACTTTGGGAGATATCAGCAATGTGGTACCCAATGTGGTACCGATTAACCCTGCTACAAATTAGCTCAGGTATACATATATACCCAGTTACCAAACAACACTGGTATCCAGCCATCCTACTGTTTTTGCACTAACCTGCTACCTTTCAACTCTGTTACCTAGCAACCTTGTTATCTAGCAACCTTTTTATACATGGTAAGTGTGTTACACATCAAGTTCTGTTTAAAAGCTTTTCCTTATGGGATTATTTATTATTGATTCTGCCTTTAACAGGAGGACACTTTCAGTGACTCATCCCTGACCCCACTAGTGGATCGCATGGACAAGAAAAGAAATAAAAATCAGGGGAAAAAAAGATGAATAGGTTACCTAATAAATGTATTGAATGAAGCTTGATTGATTGATTCTTTAGACCAAGCACTGTAGCAAGACAAACAGTGAAGCAAGTGAAAGTGTGTTAGAGCCACTACTTGGATTGTTGATGAACCTAGCCCTTGAGAAGTGTCACGCCGAGCACCAGCTTGCACCTCAGCTTGCAGTCTGCGTCATGCCGCTTCTTAGCAGCAAGAATCCTCAACTAATACTGGTTTGTAAATCATAAGTTTAGTTTTCTAGTAACACACGGAAAGCAGTACATTGCTACCATAAATTAAAGTTTACAGAGAGTAATGGGTCTGTTCTGAAATTGCACACCATACAACATATGCAAAAGCGTTGGTTTGAGTCAAGAATTATGTAAAATAACGAAACACTTACAAACATCTAACAACTTGAAATCATGTGAAACAGCCCTAATAAATACTGTAAGTTGATACAGTATAGATCCAATACATACCAATACATATCAACACTTCAAACAGGTTTCATCAAAACTTTACAACTTAGCTGTCTTGTTATTTTTCTCAAGTTCTGACAGGGCCCCAGCCACTATATATATTGCCAGGCTTAAACACAGGTCCAGAATACCAAATTGTATTTGACAAAAACATGTGGCATTCCTTAATATGGTCATGATGACATCACATCATGACCATATATAGGTACATCATGACTATATATGGGCATACAACAGTTTTTTGTCTTAAAAAATTTGATAGCCTGGACAGAGTTTTATGCAGCTATTCACACAACATTTGTCTTTCTCTCTGTAAAGTAGTTTACTTTTATTTAATTATTTCTTTATTATTTTTTCTGGCTATATTTGTGTGGTTTTCCCATATATTAACATGCACAGACCAATTTAATGTAGGTGCTATTATTTCCTTTAACTCTGAATTAGATTATTTTAATTTTATAATTACATTGTTGTTTTATATCCTCAGCGTGTATGTGGTCTACTAAGCCGCGCGTTGGTGCACTCGCCTACTGCTGTTGATTACTGTGTCCAGCATGGTATAGTGGATGTAATGATGAACATAATTATACAGGTACAGACACCCTCACACATACTTACCTACACCTACAGGCACCACACACATACAGTACCAAACTTTGTTTTATGAATATTGTTAATCAGAAAATTGCATGATCAGTATTTTGTTATAAACTTTCTCATGATTTTCTTTAGGGTAATGATGACATTTGTGAAAAGTACGCAGTCAAGTGTTTGACTGTTTTATCTCAAAACAACAGTGAAGCACAAAAACAAATTATCAGGAAAGATAAAGGTATTGTTGATCTTCTATATATAAAACATCTCCTTTAAAGACTATTTGGAGACTCTTATGCTAAAAAGGCCCCATATCTATGTTATTTTAGATTTCAATTGGAAATTAGAATTGAAAGATTAACAGACACATCAATAATACCATTCATATGAAGTTTTAAATTAATGTTTTTTATGTTTTTTTACATTCTAAATGATATTTATATTGATTCAATAGGATTTTACTGACTTTTTTATCCATGTTACTTGTTTTATACTTCTTTGTTTTGTCATTGTTACATGTATTCCATTCTCGTAAAGGCGGGCATCCCACTGTTGGATGTGAATCAAAATAAAATGTATGTTTGTATGTTTGTGAGATGCAAGTAAACGAATTCCCAAATGAAATATATTTTCAGCATAAACCCTTACAATGGCTGGTAGTTTTGCAGTAAAATGTCTGTAAATCATTGATTTAACTTAATATTTGATCCTATTCATGAAATTTCTAGAATGAAATACAAATGGTACAATTACTGTAATTCATATATTGCATTTATGTTATATTTTTATTTAAGGTTTAACTAGATTGGTACATCTATTGGATAGTGAAGATGATATGATGATAGCCAATGCAGCCTTATGTATTGGCCACTGTGCACAGGAGCCAGGGTGTAGCAAAAATATCAGTACTGATGTAGTACAAACACTGCTCACAAAGACAGACACCACTAACGCTTCCATCAAACAGAACTGTGCCATTACGCTTGCTAAGCTAGCAACCACAAGTCCAGAACACCTAAAGACACTGCAGGGATTAGGAGGAATAGGCATACTGCATAGTTGTATGAAGTATGTGGATACGTGACATCTGATGCATGTCGAAAGACACTACAGAAAAGATGGATAAATAGACAGTCTCCAAGATACATTGATATACAGTAGTTATAAATATCCTGCGAAGCTAAAGACACTTTAGAAATGAATGATAGACAGCCTTCATGATGGTATATGAAGCATTGTTATTACACTGACAGCTATTGAACCATGAACCTCTGCCAGTCTGTTAATGCTGGTACAATCATAGCTAGTGTCTGTAGATAACTTGGCCATCTATTGTTTGATAACCAATGAAAGGACGAAGGGCTTGCTCTGCAAATGACTATTGCATCAGTGATCACCTGATATCTACCTGCCCTGCCTTTCCTTTATTCTGTTGACCAGATCTCTCAAATTATTTCTGCTTGAGCAAATTAACATTTATAAGTTGTGAATTATTGTTTTTTTAATGGGAGTCATTGAGATGGGATTTTCTAAAGTTTGAAATAAAGATGTTCAGGACTACTGCAAAGGGCTTTAGAGATTCTGTTTCAATTACTTTGAAGTACACTATTTTTTAAAAAACATAGACAACAGCATGGATAAGAACAACTAATTAAACTATCTTCTCTTATTTTAGTCTGTGCATGAGTGTAATAACATGTAGTGAGAGAGTAGTCAATAGTTGATCAAATGCTCACAGAGAGCAGAGATGGATTTGTCGTACAATTCAAAGTGCGTCTATCTTTACTCACGTAATACCAACTGCTGTGTACACATAAATAATCATTGATTTTCTATGTAAATATTTACAATACAAACACTTTATACATTATTCTGTAGAACATCATATCACATTGGGAGTAAATTATTCTCTCTTTCCTTCAACTACTCTACACTTTCCACCCCAAACACAGACTTTTTATTTTGATAAAACTGTGGTCCTATTAAAGGTGAATGTAAACAATATCTAACATTTGTAAAATATCGGCGATGAAATGGGCCTACGATGCTATATGCAAGTCCCAACATTCAAGGTTTAAGTAAGCTCCAAATAGCATGTCACCTGTCATAGTTTGAGTTACCTTATTTAATAAACAAGGTCATAAAATTTTACAAAAAAAAATACACATACGCCCTGGTTATTAAATGCCTGTTTTTTAATATTTAAAAACTGGGGGGAAAAGGGGCGTAACTGCCCATTTTTACACCTTATTCCCCCAGTTTTTAAATATTAAAAAATTTGTATCTCATTCACCGTTCCCCTGTTTTTCGTCAAACAACTTTTTTCTGTCTTGAAAAAATCAATTCTACAACATATCAAAAAATTTTTTTCTTCCAGAGCCTGACTTTAAAAAGAACTTACATCCATCTGTCATGCTAGAGAGATGTGTATAAGAGACAGAGCCCTGGTTACACATACACATAAGCCCTGGTTATTAAATGCCTGTAAAGCAGCCATTAAAAATCCACATTTTTTAGTGTCGGCACACAAAGCTTAAAGAGGGAGTTACAGGTAATATCAGGGGTTTCATGCGAGTCGCTAGAACGTTCAAGATGGCATCCCGCACTCGTGCGAAAAATTTAAAATCTCCCAGATAATAACTGTTATCCCGCAAATTTCTTATGTTGGAACACCTGTCATATGTCTGTGGGCGTGACACACCTTTACTCAAAAGATTTCTGGATTGAATGCAGGTTATGAATCCTGAAATCGGTGTGGCTGCCCCTTTAATTATAGAAAATTACATCATTATTATTGGTTTGTAGTCTTGATAATTACATAAATTTAATATTGTTTATAGTCATCATATTGTGAGGTAGTTAAGGTTTTGTTCATGTCTTTCTGTAGATTTGATTTGTCCTTGAGTTTGCCTGTGAGTACAATGTGTTCAACAGTGCCTATCCTGATGTCCATTTGAAGGATTTCATTCTTGAGACGCTGCAATGCTTGCTTGACTTTCACAAGGGGTGCTGGAAGGATAAAAATAATGAAATAATTACGACACTACCAATAATTATTATAGTAATATTAATGGTGAACAGTGTTACTATATTTCTTTGAAAAAAACGCCCAGCAGCGTTTATTAATGAGACGGGTTTTTAAGGGGGAGTTTGTTTATTCAAGGGAGGCGTTTATAATTTATTTTTGATGTGAAATGGATACATATTATACCAAAATAAACAGCCCTTAATTTCACTGTAAATGTACACATTATAATTAACGTAAAAATGTGTTATTGTGTGATCATAAAGATTTATTGATCCCAACCAGGTTAGGGAAATGTAATTGCACTTGGTTAGAATATAGATAGAATGTATTGAGAATGATGTTGCTTCCATTAGGTTTGTTTACATTCATTTAGGGAGGCATTTATTCAAAGAAAAAATAAAAGGTGAATTAGATTTTCATTTTGGTACATTAAAAATATGATAATACAGTAACTGCAACAATAAATAATTTGTTTTTTTCACTGATTTAAAAATACAAAATAGAATAATAAAGAGAGTAATGAGTGTTCAAATATGGTTCAATTGACTAAAAGATATCAAACTGAAAATTTTCCTTGAAAATAATCTAACATATGGTAAACAATAAGCTTAGCATTCATTTTCCAATACTCCTTTGTGTTTTAACATGGTAAACCATATTTTACATGTAGGCAGGAGACCCAAATGATGTAAAAACATTTGTTGCCATTTGCAAAATCTGTATTGTGGCTTCTCACATTTACATTAATGTCTAACGCAGCGATTGCATTGGATTAAATTTGACCCAGACAAATGGTTTTTACTTTGGTTAAATTGTGCTTTTATTTGCATTTAGATTAAAATACACAGTGGAAATTGTTTTGTTTTCCAACCTCGCGGTCAAGGTTTCTATCTGTGCATTCAGCTTGTGTCCTGGGAGTAACCAACACAGTGAGAGCATCACACTTTCATCCACTTAATGCTACAGAGACTAAGGGACCATTTAAAAGCACAATAACCTGCATTCAAAATCAGAAAAACTGATGCTTGGGAAGATTAAAATTTTTGCTCAAGGAAACAGCTGGGTTATTATTCTTCCTGGGCATGATTATCTCCTGAGTTAAGCTTATCGTGTGGCTTGGGTATCAAAGGCAGTGTTACACATGCTGTTAAAGTCAGGCTCCGGAGGAAAAACATTTTTTGATATGTTGTAGAACTGATTTTTCTAAGACAGAAAAAAGTTGTTTGACGAAAAACTGGGGAACGGTGAATGAGATACAGATTTTTTAATATTTAAAAACTGGGGGGAAAAGGGGCGTAACTGCCCATTTTTACACCTTATTCCCCCAGTTTTTAAATATTAAAAAATTTGTATCTCATTCACCGTTCCCCTGTTTTTCGTCAAACAACTTTTTTCTGTCTTGAAAAAATCAATTCTACAACATATCAAAAAATTTTTTTCTTCCAGAGCCTGACTTTAAAAAGAACTTACATCCATCTGTCATGCTAGAGCCTTTTTCTTCCATCTCCATCTTAATTTTGTCCAATTCCTCCGATATTTCAGCCAGGACCTTTGTACGGTCTGTCACACCCCCGCTAGCCTGTCTGTACTGCTCTTTTGCCTAAAAAAAACATTTTAAAAAGTCATTAAAAAAATGTTCTAATTATCACAAGGTTTCCATCCTACAAACAATTTCCTAAAACCTTTTTTTTTTTTACTATTTGCTGAAAAAGAGAAGAGCAATGGAATTGAATTGAATTGAACTAGATGCCAAAGGGTCTTCATGTTGCAGTGCACAAGCAATATATGTCATTACAGTAGTTTTACCACTGACCACTATTACCTCTGCCAAGCTGTCTTGCATTGTACGGAACTCTTGCAGAAGATTCTCCAGCTGGTTATTGATGTATTTCTCACGACTGCCAATTTTTTCTAGAGTTTTTGTGATTTCGTCATGCAGTTTACCCAAATGTCCCTATAATAACAATAGCAAATGTTATCAATGGATTACAAGATTGTCATCATTATCGGTTTATTTGTATACATTTACCAAAAATAAAAACTAATAGATAATATATGAAGTTAAATTGGAGTTGCAGGTATGTAGCTCTGTACTTGAGTGATTGTCTTAAAATGTATCCTTGGTTCTACTGTATGTCTATTAAATTTTTTTCACAACTAAAACTTTAACATCATTATAGACATTACTGGCGGATTGAAGGGGGTGGGGGGAAAAGCTGGCCCAGCTCCCCTTCCCCCTAAATTTTTCAAATTTATAAAAAAATATTGAGAAAAAAAGGAAAATTATAATCAAGTTTAGGTCTGAGTGTGATATTTCCAGCCATCTAGAGATGCCATAATATATTTTGTTACCTCAGCCCCAACCATGGTGGGGCTGAGGTGGTCTAGACTTTGCATTTGTGAAAGTCCCTCCCTGGGCCACTCTGTTTCGACCACTAGACATATCTGATTCGCACGAGACAAAATGTTTAGGATGGGTGCTACATGTTAACCTTACTCAGACTTTTCAAGGTATTCATTCCTAATGATACAACTGATACACAGGCAAATTCAATACTTCTGCTAAAAGTTAACTTAATTTTCATTAGGTAAGGATGCTAACTGCTTACAATTTTAATGATCACCTTCAGCATTCAACATCAACATGAATATTACATGGGACGTGTACTAATCGGACATGATCATAGTAGTGCATCATGTCATTTTTCCTAGAGCATGTTGGATATGGTTATTGACCCCATAGAGGTCAATAACTCACTATTGAATGTGAATCTTCTGCTTTTTATGCCGTTTTTTCATGGTTATATTTCTTTTTTATTTTATGTAACCTGATAGAGGCAGCTTTCTTGTATTATGCTCTTAAGATTACACTATTATTATTATCAATAAAATAACATTTTAAAAAATTGGTCTAGGAAAAGTTAATGGAAAGAACAATTAGAATTCTGCATGCTTCTGCCGTACACCATCCTTTCAACAAGGTAAATTTGAACGCTGCTGCCATAACTTCACCTGTGTCTGTGACAACGCTGTGTCAATGCCATCCCGATGCTGGTGCATCTGATCCACATGTGTTCTCCAGTCCTTGTTGTCTGTACGGATGTGAACCTTTAAGGAAGGCATCACCCGCTCAACCTCCAATTTCCAGTCATTTACGTTTGTCGTCGATTCCATGATATTATCAGGCTTTGAACTCTCCTTCATTGCCTGTTATAAAAAATCATAAATAACATCGAACTTAACACAACAGTAGATATGTTGTATAATAAACTACATAATAGATTATCAATAAAAACAATTTTTCTGTCTACCATGAAATTCAATTTGGTAGTAAAACCAAATTTAGGATGTTTACACTGTACAAATGTTAATTTCATTCATTCATTCATTCATTCACCAATTCATTCATACATTAAATTTAAATCACCAAGCACAGACTGATTATTCATAGAAAATGACAATGGCCACATCAGCATTAGAAATAAATGACGCCAGGAAAGTGTGGTATATTTATTCATCAGTACTTCAGCTAAATGACCAACAAAGTCTTTACTGCTCACACTAATACTTGGAAACAGCATAAATATGTACCAATATCCATACCCTGATATAACCAACATTGTTCTTAATTTACATTAATGATTTACTGAATTCATCTAAATATTTTGATTTCCGATTATTTGCTTTTCAAATTTATTTCATAATTTTCCAGAAGAAGTAAGCACTATAAATCTGTCTTTAATTAATTATCAATTTAAGAAAGTTTTCGATTGGTGTGATGCAAACAAGGTAACCATAAATAAAACTAATTTTACTATTTTTCATGGAAAGGGTAAGCATATTTCTCTGCATGGTTGTTTAAGTGTCAAAGGTTATAATATAAGTGAAGCAGATGAAGTTTCTTTTGTTGGAATTACCATAGATAAGCACTTAACATGGAAGGCACATATTAATGAAGTTAATCAAATTATTCAAAAGAAATCAGGAATATTATTTAAACTAAGAAGCTTTGTACCACATTATATCTTAATTTCATTATATAAAGCATTTATACAACCCAATTTAACATATGGTCTAGAAGTCTGGGGTAATACATTTTTTACAAATTTATACCCTATTTCAATTTCCCAGAAGATGTGTATGTGTTGCATAACATTTTCTGGGTTTAGGGAACCATTATCTCCCTTATTTGCTCAACTACTGTAGGCCTTTTAGACATTTATACACTCCATAAATTTAAAGTAAACTTATTTGTATTTGATTTATATCATCGTTATCCTCCACATAGTTTAAATGATTATTTTGAAACCTTATCTCATTGTCAGGTTTAAGTATGCAAATAATTTGTACATAAAGAAAATGAACACAGTCACTGGCCAATTTGCAATGTCATTTACTGGTGCAAAACTCTGGAATAACTTACCTTATCATTTAAAATATATCAACTCAAACTATCAGTTCATAAAATCAGTGAGAGAATATTATTTATCAGGCACATAAATAAAATACTGCAATTTTGTACAATGTACGTATTTCTGCCATATAAAAATGTAAACATTTCAGTATAAGGCTTTATTTTTATTTTATGAATTATCACTATGTATCTATGTAAGGAAACCAGACTGGATTAGCTTTATGCTATTTTCTGGTTTCCTAATTTGCCTATTATTATTATTATTATTATTCTTTCTTTAGGCACACAACACATGTGCCAAGGATTGCCAGTAGCGAATATATCACTGTCCTACTTATAGGTGACAATCCCTTACACAAGACAAACATACACACACAATGCTTTACACAAACTAAATTTCAATATGAAGTTTAGGGAGTGGAGTTGTTTATGTCATGAGAAAAAATCCTGCAACTGGCAGGAATTGAACACAGGACCCTGGGATTGGAAGGCAAGCATCTTAACCACCAAGCTATTCAACTCCAATTATCATGTTTTTTTTGTTGACATACTTATAAAACTGTATTCTATGTGAAAAAGGCAAATGTTGTTTTTTTTTTTACATACTTGTAAAACTGTATTCTATGTGAAAAAGGCAAATAAAGAAAGAAAGAAAGAAAGATATACATGTACATGTGAAGTAAACACATTTAGATAACAGGTAAATTGATTCACTTGTGTCTTCATCATTGTCTTATATTTAACATCGAACCCTAGAATACACAAAGGAAGTAAAAAGACTGTGATTTCAAATGTAGAAATAAACAATAATTACTAATCACATACTGTCTTTGCTTGTAGATTTTGAAGACCAGCAAGATCCAAGAAACTGCCATCTTCCTCGATATCATCTTCCTCCTGCTCATCCTAAGAACAAAACCATAAATACATTGAAATGGCAAAGCTACTGTGGAAAAAAAAAGTATTTCTTAGGTTTTGAGTTGGTCTATAGATTGGCAGTTCATAATACGTTACTGTGGCATATCTAGAAGTCGTAAAATGGGTGGGGGGGCGTGGAAGATGGAGTGGGGGGGCTCGATGATTAAGTGAGGGGGAGCTAGTTCACAAAATAGGGTGATTTGAGGTGATTTTTGACTACTTTCTTTTGCTTCGGAGATTTTTAATGGGGGGGGGGGGAGGGTGATAACTAGATACCCATAGATACACCACTGGTATGATAATATACTCACAATGAAGTCCCCTTCAAGCTTGTCTAATGTCAGCTCTGTTTCATCCTCCATCTGACACTCTTCCTCTTCTGTCTCTTCTTGTGGATACATTGGTCTAATAAAGTAATAACATATTAGCCTGGTTCTCACGAGAGCCCTAGTATCTGGATCGGGAGCTAACCGTTAGCACCTGCGTGAGAACGCCCAATCGGTTAGCGCTAACCGTTAGCGGTATCCGGATATTCTAACAGTTAGCAAGCGCTATCGGTTAGCAAGTTGAGGGCGTTTCTATCATCAACCAATCACACGTACGCATTTACAATTTCCAGTTTATTATTGGCCAGTGATTCGATCATCATATTGTTGGTATCCAGATCGGGATTTTCTCGCATGGACGCACGGTTAGCAGGATCCGGATCCTGCTAACCGTTAGCTGCCGTGTGAGAACATAGCCTACAATGATAATAGTGATGAATAATAATAATAATAATAATAATAATAATAATAATAATTTAACAATATTAATAATAAAAATAATAATAATGATTGCTTTCTGTTCAGCCACTTCAATATTAATCAAAAGGCCAGTTTAACAGATCAAGAGAATGAGGTGGGCACATAAACAGGAGAGGGGGACTGGGGACACATATCTAAATTTCAATTTAAATTAACAAATTGATGACTTTTATTTTTATGTAATATAGAATTGAATCTTGAATATTATGTCCGGTAATTAAAATTGTTACAATCCAAAAACCAGTTATGGACAAAGAAAAAAGGGGTAAGGCACATGAGCAAGGCGGGGAGGGGGATGGAATATTCCTCCAGTTTGATATAAATCTTAATTTTCTTTAATAACATGGATTCAGTCCCACTTTCTGTGACCCACATTTCGACCCTTTCTCCATTTCAGTATATTTCTGTACTTGTGTAAACTTGTATCATACCTAGACCATTTGAAATTTGTATTTTTTAAGGCTGTGTCACTCAGTTTGTCCAACACGTATATGCAATGTTCTCCACAACCCTGCTTGAGCTTTGATGGTGGGAAGTCCACAGTGGCACCAATCTGCCTCAGTTCATCAAGTATACTAGAAATTGTTGCATTAGGATCATCATACTGAAAAAAAATGTAGTTTTAATTACGCACTGATTCAGGTACTGTATATGCCCACCTACTATTTATAGCAAAGTATCATGTGAAATTATCAACTCAGATATAACTCTACAACTCCTCTTTTGTCAGCTAAATATGAAAGGGGATATGTTACCAAGTATTAAATAAATTCATTGGACCTGATAACAAGTTAGTATAGGTTCATTAATGTAAGATATGTTGCCCTAAAAAAGCTCTACTGAAAACTTGCTGAGGCAAAAAAATTACACTAAGGTAGTTAGGGATATCAGCACATTTCCCCAGTATTTAACAGCACATACAACATCCCCAACAGGACACTCACATCCCTTGTATGATAACAATCATAATTTTAAATAACTTTTGAATCATTAAATATGTTTTAAATGCAGACATTTTTACCTCTTGAGGTTGTTCCATTTGCCTACCACTTAAATTGATTAGCCAAGCACTCAGTGATGTGAAGATGAAAAACTGTTCTCCAGGATTAGTTGGTATGGCAAAGTAATGCCTATTGAAACAATTGAAATAATAATAATAATAATAATAATAACTGAAGCATTGCATTAATCAACTTCTTCCCAAATATGTGCCTGGCCGTTCCCTACGTTCATCTGATCTCAATTTAATTTCTGTCCCTCGCACCAACACTAAGACCTTCGGACACAGATCATTTTCATTTGCTGCAGCCACACTCTGGAACGCACTACCACTTCACATTAAAAAATCAACATCAATTTCTTTATTTAAAAAATCACTCAAAACGCACTTATTCCAACAATAACATGAAGAGCCACTGATAATTACTTCGGTTTTTTAAATGGCGCTATATAAGTTCTTACCTTATTATTATTATTATTATTATTTTAACATTGTAAGAAGTTTATGAGATGTATTTCTTGCGGATGGTCAGTCCAAAATATTGCATGCAGCAGCATGGAAAACTTCATCACCAAACAAAAGTTTGGTTTGAAGTTTGTAACAAAATGAAATTACTTTTGATTATTAAAGAATTTCTTGAACAATAACTGAAAAATATATGTCAATCAAATTTGAATTTATACTATCTAAGGGTCGATAATAAAAAATCAATTAATAATTTCACTTAATAAATAATGTTAATTAAACTAAATTCAACAAAAGTAAAAAATGAACAGTAAAAACCTAGTGCATTTAATGAGTACCTTGACAACGGCTTAAATCCAAGATCCCTTAAAAATCCATCCTCATAATTAAGAAGCTTCAGTTTGTCCAGCAAATCTTCCATTACTACAAACTGGTTGTGTATCTGTCCTGGTCCTACTTCAACTTCCTCCGCCATTCTGTACTTTATCAGGCCTCAAACTATTGAATTAATCTTGAAATCAAATTGTAGACAGGATGATCTACAATTATGGTACAGCAGCAAGCCTTTACAATGATTGTGTATACCGATTTTCAATTACTGTAATTAAATAATTTGAAGGAAAAAAAATCCAGCCTCAAAATCTTGAGCAGCTTTTCTACATTTTTAGCACACACAGGTACTTTTTTTTTATAGATAAATCCTACCTAGGGCCTAGTCCTAGGCTTAGACATACTCTAGAGTGGTAGTACTACTAACTAGGCCTTATACCCTACTAATGCACTTGTCAATTGTAGTCATAGGCATATTTAAGGTCCGGCTTCATGCCTAAACCCTAGGCGTAGGGCTAAGGCTAAAATAGTGCCTAGCTTGCCCTTTGTGGGCGTGCTAGGCTAGCCCAGCCAAGGCCTAGGCCTAGGTCTACTAGCCTACTAGCTAGACTACCTAACTAGCTAGGGCCTAGGGTCTAGCTAGGCCCTGGTGGGCCTAGCTAGGCCTATATAATTCTACACTCCTTAATTAATTAACTCAATTACATGATCATATATGAATATGGCTTTCAAAGCACCTTATACAATGATAAATGAAATATAATCACAAATAATATGCACTGTTCACAAAGCAATTATTATTCCTACCACTCTATCGTATGTTTTTACTTTGGTATGTGAATGGTTACGAAGAGGATAGATATACGTGATTTTCGTATGAATAGTCTAATGGTAAAATAACTATATTATCGTTTAATTTTAAATATCAATTCAACAAACATTATTTTTTTAAATTATCCTGCACAATTTTTCCTTAGCTATGTTTTTTTAAACACACTTATATAATATATGAATAAATTCGTGTATTTACAGCAGACAATTTATATGAACGTTGCCCAACAAATAGTGTCCTGTCAACCATCCAAACAATTTTTGTTGAACGTTTACTTGCGTCTTTATGATGTTACGAACGCGTCAACATGTGCCAATGGTCGTGCGCCTACCCATAAGTGTCTGTGTGATCTAGTATGACACTCGACTTGATAGCGAGAGGCTGCAGGTTCGAATAGAATCCCACTGCTATATTTCTTTGAATATATCATATAGGCCTATCATCATCATCATGATCATGATCATTATGTTTTCTGCCTACTGTCAAGTTCACAGTAGTTTTCTCCAATTTCCTCTATCATGATTTCCTGTTTCATGATGGCGCAGCTTTCATTTGTTTCCTTCAGGTCATCCAACAACATTACGCTCTTTCTTCCTCGAGGTTACTTTTCTATTCTTCCTTCAATTATATCTCTCAAAGACCATCTCAAAGTACAAGTAAACACAATGTAAACAAAAAGATAAATAATAATAGCAGTGGTTTGTCGAGCAGGTTGTAATAATCGTATCAAGCATAGCTTATCAACGAAAAGTTCCAGGACTTTTCTTTGATGAGCTATGCTTGATAAGATTATGACGTCATATTCCTATTTGAGCACTGTTATATAATAATAATTATTATTAATAATTTATTTATTAATACAATATTAAATTAATATTATTATTATTAATTATTACTTTGGTTTCTTTGGTTTGCTTATGTGACAAATTTGCGATGGTTACTTCTGGCAAATTATCGCAGATAACAGAAAGTCTCCAACATTAATATTTTCGTCTCCTGGACTCTTAGCAAAGTGGTCAATATTGAATAATCCTGAATTAGTAAATTATTATCATCATCATCATATTACAGTATTATTACTGTAATATCTTCAGTTAGGCCTATATAACGGGATTTTACTGGCGTCATCCTGAATGAAACTAAAACAGATGGCATTATTGTCATTTTACTTTGATGTGTTCATTGTTCTTTTTGAAATAATTTATGTAATACGCATAAATATTGTCCAGACAATTTCAATATTTTACCAATCCACCATTTAATTTACCATTAGATTTATACAAACGTTTGATTGTATGACCAGAGCTTAATTAGAAATTCTCTATTTCAATACAGTAGAACCCCTATTAATGGAAACACCTTCGGGACCAAAAAAAGTGTCCCCTTAATAGGGGTGTCCCCTGAATAGGGGTACCCCTATTTCGGGGACACTAACCAAAAACGTGAAATTGTCCCCTTAATAGGGGTTTTTGACATGTTTTCATATAACGATGACTTATAATTCTTTATAATTTTATTTTATTGACATAATTAGTTACAGTAGAATTTGAACTAATTTATAGCAATAATTTGCAATGTAAATACAATTCCTTTATAATATGAAATCAGCAGAAATGTAACTAAAACAATAGTTTATAATATATTATGTTCTCAATATTGTTTCATGATGCAATGTCAATGAATGAATTAGGATCCTATGAAAGCGTGGCACGCATTGACATGCACTGTCGGCAGTGTTTGCGCCGATTTCGCGCAGTATTCACGCATGGTTCACGCATATAGCACGAACATGATGCGTGCCAAATTTTTGAACATTTTAAAATTCTCTCTACGACATGGCACGCACCCCCACACCCTTCACGTACTCCTCACGCTTTCCCGAAGACTTTAATCATGTGTGAGGGTGCCTTTAGAATAGCGTCGTCCGACAACAGTCAGGCGCAATGAGTGCCCGGCTTTTCTTGTTCGTGAAATTTGACGGATCCAGCTCTTCGATAAAAAATAAAGCTTTTTAGGAAACAATCTAAAACTTTGCCTTAAACCCAAGTTTGCTGTTGTTACTGTTGTTTATCATTATTCATAAGGCATTGAATTCGTGTTACCTCTGTATAAATCTAGCCTGCTGACAGTTGTACTGTCGCATCTAACGTATTTTTTAGATTCATTACCATATAATTATTATAGGATGTTAATAGGCATATGCATGGAGAAAACGAAGAAATGGCAAACCAGATTGCATAAATAATTATTTTACAATGAAACGTAATGGAACAGGAATCTGGCCAAGACAGAAAAAAAAACAGTTTAGTATTCACCAGAACTCGGATCTAGGAAGGAAGACTTTTCTCTTGAGTCATCTGCGAACGTCACGCTACTCCACTAAGAGTTTGTGGAACATGCTAATGCGAGTAGAGATTGAAAACAATAGGTTTGTAATTTGAATTGTATATAGCCCTCGAGGGCATTTGTAACAACAACAACAATAATAATAATACTAATTATTATTATTATTATTATTATTATTATTATTATTATTATTATTATTATTATTATTATTATTATAATACGCATGCACTAAAAAGTTTGAAGATGAGCTTTGATCGGGATTGAATTCTCAACAAAACCTCAATAGACAAAGAGTTAATTAGCATATTCATGATTTCACCAACATAATTACGCCAACAAGCCTCATAATCATGTAAGACCTTAAGGTGTAAGAATATTTAGTTCAACCACACCCTGAGCTAATATATTATAACCTGCTCCAGTAGGCAGATCACATCGCCTCATCATCTGTCTACTACATCTATTAAGGACAAAACTTGATGAAATGAGGCTTTAATGGCAAATTAATTTTGCCATTAAGTTTTTTTTTAAATACCCGTGACTAAAATTCTTCCGATATTTTTCACTCATTAAACATAGGACCCCACGAGATTGGAATTCAAGGAACTTAATTAACCGTCCAATTGAAGACAGACGAGAAAATCATCCCCTAAAGGCGTGACGTAAAGCAGAAATAATATTTAAACATTCGAGGCCTTTTTTTTAAATAATTCATCTTCGCAGCATTTGTCACCATATTCAATTATTATTGACAGGTGTAGAATGGGGTGACAAAACAGTGGAACAACATCGCAAGCAATACCGAGTATTATGTTTTTTTCATTTTTTGCTAATGGTTTCGTCGTCTCATTGGAAGAAATGCTGGTATAAATTTAGATATTGCTTAATTATTCCAATCAGATCTTGCACTACTATACTCTAGAACTAGATCAAAACAAATAAATGCAGATAGGATTTATTTTATCTATTAATTTTTTTTTTCTTTGTTGGATGCCGTGGGACAGTTATAAGGACTTTCAACCTCTAGGTCATGGGTTCGCGATACCGACGCTGCAAACTTCTCTTGATTTAAATTAAATTAAATTTGGTTTGTTGATAGGTATGATTTTCAATAGGAAAGCTAATACAAATTAGCACATTTTGGTCGACAACGTAATTGAGCAAAACGCAAATTGTTTTGCCTTGTGTCAGTTCGGTAGTATATAAGATTACTATTCCTCTTTGATATTCAATGCAGCCCGCCACCAATAAAGTTTATCCAATCAACATCCAGGGCTAACATCGAGCATTTAAAAGACGAAGCCGTTGCTTCTAGATCGATTATTAATCGCTGAGTGTTAAGGCTGGACCAAATCACAAGATTAGAAAGTTAAGGTAAGTGCCGTCTCGAACATATCACAAGATTATAGTTCAGGTAAGTGTCGGAGCTTTACTTTTGTTTTCTGATTTTATCTTTTCCTTTAGGTCGCTTACGGTCAATAAGCTACAGTATTCTGATTGAGCCGAGCAAGAAAAATATCTTCTTTTCAGTTAGTACTTAAGCATAAAAGCCCTTCAGTTACTTTTTTAGCTTAAATTTTTACGCAATCCTTTAATAGATAAATTGCAAATTGGCCTATAAAGAAAACAATAAAAACACAAGACGAATACAAACAATCATACACTTACATTTACGTGATTGCGTCTTGCCCATGAAACACGTCAACATTGCATGCATGGATACATTATAATGTATTAGTATATCTGGCGACAGCAACTTGTGGTATATAATACCAACTTAACTTCAAAGAGCACAATGTTTTATATGTACATATATAATATATAGGCCTATATAGATATTACTATTTGGGGTACTATTACTTTTATTTATCTTAAAGTTAGCCTTTGTACACTGTTTTTATTTTATTTATTGTCTTTCTGTATTTAATAGTTTAATCAATAATTTCTTTCATAGGTGTCTTGATAGAAGGTGATCTGTCTCTTATACACATCTAGATGTGTATAAGAGACAGATATATATATTCGTAATAGTAGAAGAATTGGATTCTTTATTTCATTCTCAAGAAATCCAATTTTTCTATTACGTTTATAATTAATTATTAATTACATTATGTGGCTTGTTTAATAAATAATTATAAACGTAATAGTAGAATTTGATTTTTTGAGAATGAAAAAAAAATCCAATTCTTCTACTACTACGTTTATATATATTATATTATATTATATACTCGTAACCTTATATATCCCTATGCCTATTATAGGCCTCTATATTATATGATTTATGTAGGCCTATATAATAGTGAGATATCTTGATTAAATTACAAATAGATGGCCTTGAATTTCCCCTGCCGTTGTAAATTGTTGGCACATTTACGTAGTGACGTATTGTATTTCAATGTGTAGATCGGACCAAAATTAGGCCTATCTATACAACATTAAGCTTAGACCTAACAAAATAAAAATAAAATTTATGACCAGGCTTATGCCTGATCGTTTTGGTGATTGTGAACGCAAGATCATGAGGGACATCCGAATCGATTATAATGTGCTTACGTATTTACGAAACTAATAAGAAATTAATCCTACTTCTTTAAAAAAAAAAAAAAATAACAAAAAAAAACAAAAAAAAAAACGTTATAGAAATGTTTTGGTTGGGTGGTTCACTTTGACGAGATTTATAATTTGGTTGTTTAATAGAGTATAATATTGAAATAGTGTCTGGTGCATTATTCATTTTTTATGCGACTGCAGCGTTTATGTTAGTATGTAGATGTATCCTCAATTATGCGCATTTGACTAAAAAGCCAAACTGGTCTATACGCACTCACACATGCCCAAGCCCCATTATGTACGTTTGAAGCACCGTTCAGACGTACACGTGTCCATACACTCTCTTTATCACAAGCCATAGGTCTACCCTCCATACACACATTTGTTACCGTCCTTTACGCTCAACTGAGCCCAATACCGTCCGTATATGTGACCACATGCAATGACATACCTAAGTAGGCCAATGCATTTGACAATGAAAGAAGGTACGTATTTCCGTAAGCACGCGCTCTCGCTAACAATACAGTGTGGTTCGATATAATGATCAGGAGATCGCGAGACCTAGATTCACTCATTTTTATAAGTCTGATTCCCCTCTGGAATAGGCCTAGACCTATATATAGTTTTGTTACAGCGGCATCACAGTTGATATACACTAGGGGTTGGCATAAAAATCGGTCGGAGGGAAAAAGTTAATTTTTGATTTAACACCGAGGGCCGAACTCAAACTTTGATGTTTCCAATGAATAATGTGCTCTTCCTAATGGACCGAGATTCGGAATTATGGCATGCAGGTCCTGGACTGCAAAGGCAGGGTTGGGGTGGACATATGGATCGAGTCGGATAGGGCAGGTATAATTTTGAAATACACAGTCATTAAAGTGGACAACAATAGAAGCAGAAGCTATCTTTTTCAATCGTCATGTTTTTTTTCTCAATAAATCAACAGTTTATTGGTGTATGCCTACAAGTCTTCTATCAGCACACCTTCTTTAGCTCGTTTTCAAAGTAGTTTTAGGCTATTACCTATGTTACCATGGCGAATTTTAAAGAACATGGCTAATTAACTGCGAACAGTGTATATTTTGGCTTTTATATCATATAGGCCTATTGCTTAAACCTTTTATAATAATATAATAATAATAATAATAATAATAATAATAATAATAATAAAGATAATAACATTAATAATATAAGTGAAAATAATAATGCTAAAATGATAATAATAAATAATAATTATAATGAAAATAATAGTAATACAGTAATAATAATAATAATAATAATAATAATAATGACGATGACGATTAAGACATTTTGATAATGATGATAATAATATATAGGCCTAATAATAATTATAATAGTATTGATCCTAAGCCTATTTTTTCCTTCTTTTCATAGAATCTGTCGTGATATTTTAAATTTGTGACTTTGGAAACTTCGCTCGAAACACTTGACAAACATGGATGTTTTATCGGTTTTAAACACAATTAACATAGTTATCATCGCCATTGGAATAGCGTGTAACGGATCTGTTTTATTGATAATCATATCTGGTAAGGTTAACAGTAGCCCAAGGAACTATTTACTCGCAAATATTGCTTTAGGAGACTTATTCCTACTTGTAACATCTGGTTTGCTTTCTGTTCTCATAGATTATGAAGTACTTAATAATTTTGACAAAATAGTCTGTCTTAGCACGAACGCTTCAATTGTAATAAGCCAAGGAGTAGCAGTTTTAACTTTAATGTCGCTGAGTATGGATCGCTTCCTAGCAATCGTACATCCATTTGCTATTCTACGTCTGCGCCCTGGCAAGATATACGGAACCGTAATTGTTCTGATCTGGATTATTTCTCTAGTTGTTGCAACTCCGATATTTTTCCTTGGCAATGCCGACAAGGCAATTAATAATAGTTACTGTCACTACGTGCCTGAATACACGCGACCGGGTAGGATTTACGACTGCGTCCGCGCCGCTCTCTTTTACGTATTGCCTCTCTCAGTGATAGGCGTTTCGTATGTTCTTATGGCGCACCGTATATTCAGAAGTACAGCATTTGCTAAGAGGTCGTCCAACAGCAGTAGACGCGTTCAGAAGGAACGACAAAAACTTGGAATACTTGTCTTAGCTATTGTAGTACTGTTCGCTGTGTGTTGGGCTCCCGCGACGTTTTACAGCATCTACAAACACTACAAATTTGTAAATGTTGAATTGTACTTTTTTTTGGAAAGTATTCACCTAAAAGAGTGGCGCTCTACCTTGATCTTCATCAACGCCTGTACAAATCCTATAATACTTTATTTAATGAGTAAATCGTACAGAGAAGGCTTCGTGAAATTGGTTTCCTGGAAAACCAGAAGCAGCTCCAGGTTCACCAGCATACAAACTAGTTTATCTTCAATTAGATCCAGACATTTTATTCGAATCAAAGAGGGACATGAGTTGTCGCAACTAGGGGAGAAAACAACGCCTAATGACACTGACGGTGATGCCTAGAAGTTGGGTGGGGTGGTTGTATTATGTGCATTGTGAAACAAGTCATAGGCCAGATGCGGAAGATTCAAATAATGGACGGGTTGCTTACTTCATGTCTCGAATCGCCTGATCAGAACGAATGTTCCTCGATAAAAAATTAGGACTGCAGTATCAAGAGATCAGCAAAGCAATGGTGGCGCCAACCGCGGGGTCAAGTAGACATTTCCTTACACCTTTGGACATACATGGACTCTGTGTCGTGAGGCATCGCAGAAGTGTCGTCGGATCGAGTAAAATATTGATTTTTTTTGTGACCGCCAATCCCAACAGCTGTGTTGTCTAAAAGCACAGTGAGCCATCCTAAACGACCCCTTACAAGCTAATAGGTTCGGACTCCATGTCGGTAAATATATGGAACCACCTCTGACAGAAGGTCCAATGGTGTATTAATTTGGTAGGCCTTTACAGACTTTTATTACGTTTGGCTACTGGTGGGATGCTAAAATTATACAAACCTTGTTAACATGCATTTAGGCAGAATTGTAATAAACTGTCATGCAGAAATATTCCATAACATTACCACCAGTTGATAATGACGACGACGCCCGCCGATTATGACCACGACGACGACGCCGATTACGATAACGAACGACGTCAACGTCAACGACGATGATGATGACGACGACGATGATGATGACAACACCAATTACGAGGATACCTCTGCCCCGGTCGATGATGATAAGATGATGATCATGACAACGATGAAGGTGTGAGGTCGAAGAAATCAAATAAAAATTGTTATGATGACCTACGACTTCGTCTACGATATCACAGCCTCCTACTACACTTTTTTTTTTATAAGAACCAATAAATTTTTGCCCAGGCTCAGTGTTCTTATTTTTTGGCCTATTTCAAGCTCAAAATGTTCTTATTTTACACACTTTTCAAACTTCAAAGTATTACAGTATATAAGTCGCCCTGGTAAAAAATGGCCTGAGAAAAAAGGCTCTGCTAAAAATGGCTCCAACTGACAGGAGGTACATCTACTGTACTGTATTATGAGAGTATTATAATAATCACACTGAACTTAAGGCATAAATAGGCTAGGCCTATAATTTTTGGTTTTTTTGAATAAAAATTTCATTTAACATTTTACCTGAGCCTCAATTTGTTCTTATTTTGTTCTTAATTTTTAAGCAATTTCAGCCTCATTGTTCTTATAAAATGTGTTCTTATTATTAAAAAAAAGTGTTTTATTATAAAAAAAAAATAAATAAAAAAAAAGTGTACAATGATGATGATGGATGCTGATGATGGTGACGACTGACGACTTTGCCAGTGACTACTATATATTATTCAATCATTCTTTATTGATATTCATATATGGAATATACAAAAGAAAACATTGGTGATGATAACGGTGGGGATGATGATAAGGAGGAAGGATCTGACAATGGTTGGACATCATGATGCCGTTTACGACGGGCAAATGTCTTTGAAAATTGCTGTATTTATTAAGCCTATCATTGTTTTTGTTGTAACGAATTTGGTTATAGTTGCCTTCAACAATTTGTTGACAATAAAAATAACATTTCAGTTAAGTCTAAGTTGCAATTATATGTCATTAAAAAACTAAAAGCTAATGAAATCACATTCTACGTTAACGTTTTTCTCTATTTTTTAAATACATTACCTTAAGTTTATCGAGATCAATATAGACAATCATTAAAATAAGCTACATTTACAGGTTCTTGAATTAGAAATTGAAAAGCGGAGATGGGAGAAAGTTACTAGAGATAAACGGTTTTGTAACATATGAAACAGCAATTATGTAAAAATGAATGTCATTTTGTTATGCAATGTTGTCTGTACAAAAGAATTAAGTGCATGTCCTATTCCACACTTCCATTACTAATGTATACCCAACCACTGACGGTTCACCCTGTAGAATACAGAATTAGTATTCAACCCAGAAAAAAATGATTTTGTTTTTGAAGTAATGAATAATTACTTTAAGCACAATTAAATATGATGAATGTGTCTTAGGGACAAATGACTATCGTACGTTGGTGGGGAGGGGGTGCGCCCTTAAGGCCTTCCTTATACGCCATTAAGTTTTATAGTCCAACAGACATATCAGTGACCAATTATTAAAAATTAAAAGCAGCAAACTTTAGTCACCTTAAAAATGAGAACAAATAGATTACACTGCTAAATCAAGACGAAACTAAATCTGAATATCAATTGTGCAGACCCTACCAAATACTCCAATCCAATGTAAAAACTACAGATTAATACGCATTCTTATCTTAGTAGGCCTGTCAAATTTGCAATAAAGAATTCGTACGGTAATTAAATTATTAGGCCCTACCAATCACATAATAATAGGCACTTCATGCAATTCGGGTTAGGCGCCCAAGTGTTTACTGTGGTCTTCACGCTCTGATAAGCACAACCACCGTCCACCCATCTTCCCGTCTTGTTGCGTAACATGCCTAATGTTTAACTATACTATAGGTTTCCTAAAAGAGTATTATTTGAACAATTTATAGAGTACCACAGTCGTGTCGTCACGACGCCAGATGGCGCTCTCTGTTGTCAACAGACGTTGGTTACCGTTCAATACTCCTGAATGACTTCATAGGTCTGGAATAGGCATTTTAAAATCTAATATTTTACCATCAAAATGTACTAAAACACAAAAGCTTGCATAATATTAGTTATCGAACACACATTTAATCATCAATTAAAATTTAACGATAGCAACGGAGTAGTATCACGTGGTATCGTGACGTAACACTGTAGTACTGTACTCTATTGATAGGCCTGTGAGCTGTCACTTATAAGACTAGTATTACTAAAGTGCAGTATTTTCTTATTTCAAATTGCTATTTATTCTGTTTTTTGCTGGAAAACAAAGTATATGTACTGTAATTAATAATCGAAGCTGTAATAAATAAATTAATTAATCGAACACGAATATTGGTTGTTTAATTTATGAGGTCGGTTCTTATATGCAAGCTACTGAGTACTGTTGAAGAAAACAATATATAATATGCAAGTTACCATCCTCAATACTGGGGCAAACAATGCCCCGGTTGCAGGGGTTCGAATATTCGTTGTGAATTTCAACGTTTGTTTTCTTTTTCTGCATTGTATCTATCCACCCAGAAGTGTAAGTGGGTACCTGGTTGGGCTATAGCTAGAATGCCAAAATATGCGCTGCAACCTTATGAAATACTGTAGGCCTACTCCGCATGGAGCTGAGATGTCTATATCTGTTTAATCGAATGACCGGGGATAATACAGGAATGTTAAAGCGCTTAGATTACTATAATTATTCGGTACCATTATCATTAACAAGATGAGATGATTGCGATTTTTGAGTTATAACCCATACGTTTTAGTTTTTTAACTAGAATTGTATCCTATATTTTATAATTATTGGGCATATAATATGTAAGCATAGGCCTATATCGCGTAATTAATTAACAGAAACGTTGTTGTTGTTTTGTTGATGATGATGATGATGATGATGATAATGATGATGATGATGATGATGATAATGAAGACGACGAGAATGGTGATAATGATGACGAAGACGAGAATGACGATAATGAACGATGATAATGGTAATGAAAGGTCTGATGATCAATAACGATAGATGTTATAAGTAAATCCATAAATTACAAAAACTTAAAACTTGAAGTTTGATGAAAAATCATTGCAAAACTAAACTAATAGACCTACATCATTATTTAACCAAACCAAATTAGAAAAGTTTAGGTTGAAAATCCGAGTACTCACTGTGCCGACCGAGAAACAACGCCACGACGCGCGCGACAATAAGCAAAATGTTGTCTAGTGCTCGCAAGGAGCGTAGTTGGATTTGTCGGCCGACAGAGAGAGGTATTAGAGATTGCCAAAATACAGTACCGGTAATAAAATACAAGATTGTACTAATTACACAGGCTTAGTGACTTAAAACTAATGCGTGTTTGCATCTTGTCCCATTAAGGTACCGGTACTAGTTTAATCGTATTATGACGTTGATATAAACGTAAAATATCACTTAGGTCATTATAAACCTTAGTTTAGGATCATTGATGAATACCAATTTTCTTATTGGCCTTCTAGGCGCACTTCCAATGTCATATTAATTACACACTATATAATGCTCGTCATTATTTATGATCGCATGGAAACTCAGTCCGTAGGCCTACTATGTTTTTATTAATGTTAGATCGCATGGAAACTCAGTCCATACTGTGTTTTATTAATGTTCATTTCCCTTCAACAATGTTCAACCACATAATCCTTTCTGACATAGTGATAATCGATATGAAGTCATCTTTCAATTTAATTTGCTTGGTTAATTTCAATTTTCGCACCTAAAATATCAAACTCGTTGTAATATAAGCTGTATTTGCATCACAATTTAAAATAAAATATACTGTATATTACTTTTATATATTTCTGATTTAAAAAGCGCATGTTGGTTGGCTTTTACGTAATGCTTAATTTTAAGTTTAGGTATGGCCGTGCGTCAAAAGTTCGCACACATTTAGGTCAAACGTCAATTGTTCACTCGCGACTCGTATTTTGATACAACTTACCGTGACTTTGCGATACACCCTGCATAACCACACAGGCGCAATATTGGTCATATCAACATAATATAAAAAATGCAGAGGTTTACATTAGCTATAGCTCGCAAGAGTATATTAATTGGGAAGCTCCTGAGCAAGATAATCTAGGAATACAGCCGGGACAATTTGTGACCAGGGTAAACCAAATATGGATGATTTTTTTTTAACTGATAGATATGCATGTAGCCAACGCCGTATTGGGACAGCTGGGACAGTTGCACACGATTTTTCTAATGTGTCCACAAAGAATGGGTCCACATTTTTATACATGGGTCCAAATTATACAGTATGCATAAAGTGAGTCCACATTGAAAAATGGGTCCAATTTCTCATATTTAGCCTAAATTCTAAAATGGGTAAAATTTGAAGAAAATAGGTCCAGAGTTTTCATATTTTTGCGTAAAATGGGACAACTTTTAAGGAAATGGGTCCGCATATTTGAATTTTACGCGTAAATTGGGTCCACAATGATATTGTCCCGCACTGTTTGAAAATCTTGGCTACGGCATTGCATGCAGCATAATGGTATTCGTATGGTCATAAAGAAAATAGCTACAGTATTAAATTCATGGTATGGGCTTAGGGGAAATAGTCATCCTTGAGTACGGTGTGGTATAAAAAATAGCTCCCCCATAAATAAGAAAAAGTAAAAGTCATAGAGCAGAGATCTCAATATATTAAAAGTGAACTTAATTACTTATGATGCCACTACCGTGACTGAAATTTAAGAAGAGTTGGCATAATATACAAAAATCGGTGTTTGAAAAGATCAAAGAAGAGCTATTCAAGAGGCTAGTCCAGATGGAGGCGTTATGAATGCGAAATTTGGATCATCAATCATTAATGGAAGGAAAGTTAAAGAAGCAAATATGTGGGTTATAAGATGATGGGCAAGATTGCTTGGTGGAGAGTGAAAAGTGTAAAGGGTCTCTATGGAGTTAAAACTCCTAGTTCGCTGATGCTCACAACTTGCGATTGGCAAATGAGACTGTGTGTCCATGTAATGGTTGGATGCGACAAGAAGGTTTTGAAAAATTGATATCAACTGCGAGCTTAATGGCAAAGGAGCAAGAAGCAGACAGACGGAAATTATGTCGGTATTTAAAGATGGTTAAAGTACCCATTCGCGTGTAAACATTCGAGTGCACATTTTTCACGAGATAATCTTAAACTAAATAAAGTAGCACCCAGACACATCAAACAATCGACTTATTTTATTGATATCGTAAGTCCCCATTTGGTGTAAGTCCCCATTTGGTCTATAATGTACGCAACCTCCACCACCCAACGCAATGCGATGATGCCATCCTAAATACGGCCTTCTTCAAGTTGACCTTCGCTCAGGACTTAGGCCTATTATTTAATTTCACGAAATTGAAAATATATAATATAGGTATTAACATATCAAAATAATACTGACAAGACGAAAGACACATGTTCATTAATAATAATGACATTATTATTTTGAGCATTTAGATTATGGCATACAGTTTTGTACCGTAGGCTCTATCGA